AATTAGGGCCCACAGTTGCAAAGATTTTTGTAAATTCCTTTATTTATTTAAAATTATTCACAGTACCTTAGTCCTTTCTCTTTGGGCAGCACCGATTTGAAGTGGGTCATCCTTGATGTCGAAAGTCCTGAACTTCCTGGGGGACTCCTCCAGTGAGCTCTCGGTGCTGACGGTGCTCTGCACTCGTTTACCATCGTTCCATTTCACGTTGTACTTTCTGTCCATCTCCTTGAGCCTCTGAAGGGCCGCAGTCGCCTTCGAGTGCAACATTTTCTTCCCCTCTTGGTTTTTTTTTTCTTTTTCTGGAAATCTTTAAGTCATCCGCCGGGGGGGTACCCCTACGTTCTGACTGAACCTAACCAGCTTACACTTGCGAATTTTTCCCATTTGTCAGTCGAGTGGTGAAGTACTGCCGGAAATCGTTGCCAAGGGAACAAATTCGTATACAATGTGCTCCGATGTTATACAGGTTGCATGAATAAGTAGTCGCCTTATCTCTTTAGGTATTTGACATTTGAAAGAAAGCTGAGTAGTAATTGAATAATTAAAGAGTTTCTGTTTCGTCGAGGTATCTTAATTCTTAAAGGATTTTAGTAGCAGGGGGAATCTTTAAAATCATCAGGGCATCAGTTTCTTAAAATTGTCTTTATTTACTCAGGAAAAATACAATTATTAATAATGGATTAGGAGTGTGTTCGAGCTATGCGAACAAACAGATAGTTACATAATTTCTTAAATGCATTCCCGATAGGCAGTCCTCGTTATCTTGTAACAAGCGATAAGTATACGAAGGTTGGTCGTCAACGTGTAAATATGCAGCACGAAAAACGAATTAATTGAGGTTAAAATGCGAATAATGTAATCATATTTTAATTCAACGATTTGTTTTTAATTGAAATCAGGTAATACGTGAAGATTTATATTTGAAGACCTCTGCGGACGATGCCTGACCAATAAGCCTGATCCATCTGTCATATCGACGACGGATAAGACAATGGGACGCGTGACGCGAGGTTATGTGCTCGCGGCGTGACCGCAAGCGGCCACGGCGCGTCTAGCGGACGGTCGAGCGTGGTCGCTTTTCATTGGCCGACGAGTGTCGACCAATCGGTGTGCTCCATCTGTCTGCTACGGCGGCGGCTAACTCGGCAACCACGTCCGCTGTTCAAGGCATTATCGGCTAGTTCGCCTGTGAGTGAGCATCGTTGTCGTCGTCGTCGAGCGGACTTTCGTTGTCCCGGCGTCTGAAAATGCGGTCCTTCTGCTCGTTTTTGCTTCTGTTGGTGGTCACCCTCGCCGCCGCGGACGTCTACTTCGAGGAGAAATTCCCGGATGGTGAGTGTTCCGTTCGTTTTCGTACTCCGACCGATTCCCGTCCCGACTCGGAGGCCCCGTACGCCAGGGCGAACGGAGTCTAGAACGATCGCCGGTGTTTCTCTTCCGGTTTTCCTTAGAGAAACCACGCCCAGAAGTTCGGTCTCGATGAGAAACACGCGTCGTTTCACGGCGATGTGGTCGGAATCGAGTCGCGAAGGGATGGAGGTGTATTTCTCCTTGGTAACCACACGCCCTTGCCTCGATGCCGTTTACCAGTTAACGGGTAGTAGTACACGTAGATGCTCGCGTATTGGTGTTAAATGTCGCGGAAAGATCGCTTAAAATGGTACGTGCCAGATGGCTCGAAAGAACCAGCGGAAACGTGGCACGGTTCGGTCGACGACGTGGGGCCGTGCGAGCGTAAGGCCGGGCCCCCCGAGTTATGCCGACATGACGCGCAATCGATTGGTCGATCTGCGTTCAACGCTTCGAGAAACAACACTCGTGTCGCGAGGAAAACGTGTCACGCTGATGCGATTACATACCTGTCGCGTTCCCGATGCGATCTTCATATAAACCCGATTCACAACGCGAAATAACTAAATTTTTTATTCGGTAGTTTAAAAGTAAGTTTCGATCACGTAGATTCCTGGGAGGAGAATTGGGTGTACTCCGAGCATCCCGGAAAGGAGTTCGGAAAATTCGTTTTGAGTCATGGAAAATTCTGGAACGAACCAGAGAATGACAAAGGTAAGCATCTCGGACATAGAAATGTATGCATCTATTCTGAAATAGAAATTAATTTCTCCGTCTCTTGCGGTAGGTATTCAAACGTCTCAGGATGCTAGATTCTATGCGCTCAGCAGGAAATTCAAACCGTTCAGCAATAAGGATAAACCGCTGGTTGTACAGTTCTCTGTTAAACATGAACAGAACATCGATTGCGGAGGTGGATACGTGAAGGTATTCGACTGCTCGTTGGACCAGAAGGACATGCACGGAGAGTCTCCATATCAAATTATGTTCGGTAAGAATCTTGAATCACTCGGTTTAATTAATCCGAGCCTAGAGTCACCGGTCGCATCCTGTGATCGATTGGTGCTAGAGGATCTCGGAGAGTAATAGTCTTACTTATGCCCTGGGTATCGTAATTATACATCATTCAGGCACCAGTAAAGATACAATTATTTGAACAATTATCGAGTATCGTGTAAAAATAAATCGAAAGATCGGTGCTTCGTACTATCCCCTTTTTTCTCCTTCGAAATGCGTAGTTTAATACGCGTTTGGCAACGAGCCAAGAGAGATGATCATGCAATGTTTCTCCGCAGGACCTGATATTTGCGGACCCGGAATAAAGAAGGTCCACGTGATCTTCTCTTACAAAGGCAAGAATCTGTTGATCAATAAGGAAATTCGTTGCAAGGACGATATCTACACCCACTTGTACACTCTGATCGTGAAACCGGACAATACATACAAGGTAATTATAGAGATTTAACTATAAAATTGTGTATCGAGCCTAGAGTCACGTGTTCTCATTGATAAGCCGTGGGGAATAGGTGCTAGAGGATCTCGAAGAGCAATGATTATCTTGCTTAATGATATTGTAGATAAACGATACTGTTTATTTACGAAATTAGCAAAGAACGACACGTTTAACTTTAACTTTAAGGGGATAGACTCCGATATCTTATATTTTCGTATTGTTTGATCTGTTCAGGTTTTGATCGACAATGAGGAAGTTGAATCTGGTGAATTGGAAGCCGATTGGGATTTCCTTCCACCGAAGAAGATCAAAGATCCGAACCAGAGCAAACCACAAGACTGGGATGATAAGCCAACGATTCCTGATCCGGATGATAAGAAGCCGGACGACTGGGACAAACCTGAACACATTCCCGATCCAGAGGCCAGCAAGCCTGCAGACTGGGACGACGAAATGGATGGAGAATGGGAAGCACCCATGATCGACAATCCCGATTACAAAGTAAACTAATACATTCAAATCATTTAATTTATCTGCGTGATTGTACAAACATTTATTTGTTCAAAATGTTTGCTCACATACTACAACGAGTATATCGTGTCGTTTAGGGTGACTGGCAACCGAAACAGATCGACAATCCTAACTACAAGGGACCGTGGATTCACCCAGAGATCGATAACCCCGAGTACACTCCTGACCTAGAGTTGTACAAGAGGGACGAGATCTGTGCCATCGGTTTCGATCTGTGGCAAGTGAAGTCGGGCACGATTTTCGACAACATCCTGATCACCGACGACCCAGAGCTCGCTCGTAAAGTCGGCGAAGAAGTCTGGAAACCCACTCTCGTAAGCATCTTTCTATAATCGATGAACTTCGGCATTTGTACGATACTCGAATGATGTTAAAAGCGTTTCTGATTCGAATGAGCGATACGAAAGCTGGAATTCCTCGTTGCTGACGTTACATATTACAACTTGATCTGCCTGTCGAATGTAAAGCTGGATTTATGTGCGTTGCGTTTTCTGTTGCAGGAGGGAGAGAAGAAGATGAAGGAAGCTCAGGATGAGGCGGAACTGAAACAGAGAGAAAAGGAGAGCAAAGAAAACGAGGACAACAAGGATGACGACGAAGACGAGGACGCTGATGAGGAGGAGAACAACAACGTCCCTGATGCTGAGGTACGTGCAAAGGACAGATGATAAGTTCGTTTTAATCTTCGTTAGCATGATGAATTTATTTAGCTCCGATTTAAATTGACGATCTAATGGCTAGAATTCTTCGTTGCTGAGAACGAATATTAAAAACCTCGTCCTCTTTCTCGAATCTTAATAATGTTCTAATAAATTTTTCTATTTTTCAGGAGCACGACGAATTGTAAATAGCGTGTCGACAGACACGAATACAGACTGTATTCCAGGAGCTGTGTGGCCGCGCGACACCATAAAAAATTCGAAACAGAATAAAAAAGGAGATCCCTTGAATTAAAGTTTATCACCATACTAAAACGATCGGACAAAAGCTCATCTGCAAACAAAAGTAGTTTCGTTTCCTTTTTCTGAACGTGGCCTCGTCTCCGTAGCCTAAAACGTTTCACATAAAACCTAGTCTTCGTTCCACCGAACTGCCTGCAGCGACGAACGTCATGGGAATAAGAGAAAAATGAAAGTGCTCGAGCTGCGTACTGCCAAGAGGTACGCTTAAGATTCTAACGGAGAAGGAACCATAAATTTGTATACACGTACGAAGCGGTATATGAGTATGTATTATAGTAGAAGGTCCATCTTGCCCGCCCGTGTCCCTACCATGGCACAGCTCCACAAAAAGACTCTAAGTTGTTCCGTTTTTGTTTGTCAAGTGTTTTTATATACAATTGAAAGATAATATGAAGATGTAATTTAATGACACTATATTATATATATATATACATGTATAAATATATATATATTATTTCAATTTCCGTACAGTGTACGCGCGTATTAAAAGAAACAGCTCGCTCCAGTTTAAAATGTAAGAGTGATGATTGGATGTGTGCAGACATGACTGAATGATATATAAATATAAATACGATTGGTATGATTATGTATCAAATGCAAAACAAAGCTGAGTAACCGATGTAATAAAATAAATAAGACTTTTCTAGACGTGCTCAGGCCCGTTTACTCTCGTCTCCGGTTTCTTACTTTTTAATACATAGAAGATGTATAAAAGAGTTTTATTCGATTTCATAGTAGATCATTAATTTTTTCTGGTTCTTATTTCTTTTATTCAAATTAAAACTTTATCAAGTAATGAACAATTCCCTTTTGACCGACTCGTAACTGATTATGTAGTAAATTCGAGTCAGGGACAGATTAGATCTCTACGTGTTGCACATATTTAATTATTTAAGAGCGAAACATTTAAACATATAGCGAGTTAAAATTTTCGGTAGGGTTTATCGATCGATTCTTTTTACTGTGCATAGAAGTTCGCCTTAAGCTCGTGCGCAGCAGACGATCCGCCACTCCGTCGGCTAGACGATTTCGAGTAAAACGTGAGAGCTGTAGAAATTTTAAAACAATGTCGTCGGCTGGAAGGTCAATTTTGCAGCGCATCACCAGGTCCTTTAGGACCACCGCACCGACGAAAAGCGGCCACGATCCGGAAGGTTTCCCTGGCGCCGTGAGTAAAAAATTCGTTTTCTATTGCGTAATATCGAGATGTTAACTGCGGGATTCGTCTATACAATTTGTTAGGTTTCAATAAATAGATGTATAGTTTTATCAGTGGAAGCTTCAAACGATTAAATCGTTGAATATGTATTATTAGCGTCGTTTGTGTGACAAATCAATAGGTCTTAGAAGTGACGATATAGGTTAGGCTGAAATCGAACTTTATTTTTGCAGAACATCCCGTTGCCCCTTGGGAACAGGTACGTGATATTGTTCTCTTTCATCGCTTACTTTGGAAGTGGGATATCTGTACCTTTCCTCGTTCTTCGTTATCATTTGAAGAAGTGAAATGTGAGTCCTCTGACCATTGCTTCGTTTCTCGAGCCAGATTTATGCATACTATTTCTCATTAACTTTCATGTTTTTCAGGTATCGCAGTATTTACATTAGTATGTTAATTCTAATGCTGTTGCAAAGAATCTGACGTGTAATATAACCAGTTTGTAATAAAGGAAAGTTGAAATTCAATAAAATCACCGAATGAGGGTGTCACGACTTTGGTAGTTGCACAATTTAAAAAAATTCAACAGTCTGCTCAATACATTTTCTCAATCTGTTAAGTATGACACCAGAAAAATATGATTGCTAAATGAGTTGGCAATAAAAAATTTACCAGTCAGCGTGTAAGCAGTTTATGCTGATGCGACGATTCAGAAAATAATGTCACATGTAAGAATCTAATTTATTAAACCCATTTTACAAATGTTTAATGTATAATTTTAACGAAATAATATGAACAATACTCGGAAAGCTTGCGTACGCGTAAGTTTTCTTTAGACATAAAATCGCAAGTTTCGCAATGCGTATAAGCGTTGAAACGGATGAGGAAAGTGGAATGCGAGCTTGTGACAGCTACATAGTTAATTAAGAATAAAGACGACCCCTTCACCCGTTACGTAAATCGCATCTTGAATTTATGTAATACGCCGGTACATTTAAATCAGTTTAATTCAGCAGCGGCTGTTTCGATTATAATTTTACGAAATTCAACTCTGACCCCGCGTTTATCAATGATCGTTATCTAACGGGATCCAATTATCTTCGAGGGACACGTAACAATCGTAGAGTATAGTAGATGAGTAATGTGTTATCGCGGAAGCCGTCACGCCATGTAATTTACTCCGTACGGCTCTACACTGCGCGGAATAATTAAAATTTAACTGATGATTTCATACAAATAGTTTGACAACAAACTGCAGTTTCTGAGATCATTGTGTATAATAAGTATGAAAGATTGTTCGAAAGTCCGTTCAGTCGTGCTCGACGCGTCGAGCAGTTCGTATCAACGTAGTTTGAATTTTTAACCGTTCCTCGAAACGTACCAACGTCTGTTTCGCGAATCCTATTACGCGCTAATTAAATAACCGAAATATATATATATTTACATATGTATCGGTGTGCAATAAACAAATCGAGTGTGTCCGTGTCTCGTCAGTGTGTATGTGAGAACCAGCCTTGAAAGTTTCCGCTCGCCGCACCGGAGAGGAGGCCGCCGTTTCACCGTTCCCAGGCACGGTGTCATCATGAATTGACTGGACGCAAGTCGGGGCCACACTCCAACGAGAAACACGTGCTGCGTCGGTGCCGCGAGTTCGTCCGGTACGCGCGATCGATTCTAACCTGAAGTCAGCGTGTCCTTGTCAACGGGGCGTGCGGCCGGTGCCCCGATGAAGTGAGTCACACCTGGAGAAGAACGAGCTTCCGTTGCAGCTAGACGCGCACTTTCGATTCACCATGTATCAGAAATTAAGGACCGAGGTCGAGTACCTCACCGATCAACATCTAACCGGCTTCGAAAACTACAAGGTAACAAGCTGGTCTCGTCTCGAATTAGAATCGACTGTTTGTAAAGACGATCGTATTTAAGTAGCACGAAATGAAATTCATGAGTGATTCGTTAATTGTAATTACAGTACAGCTCGGTGGACACGAGTCCCCTCAGCGTGTACATCATGCATCCATTCTGGAACAAAGTGGTTCAAGTATGTTTCATTCTAAACTCGATTCTTCCCTGTAATCAATTCATTTCTCATTTGAATACTACGAATTTTTCAGTATTGTCCCAAATGGGTCGCACCGAACACGCTGACGTTCACCGGGTTCCTCTTTACCGTCTTCAATTTCACGATGTTTGCATTCTACGATTATTACTTTTACGCATCGAGCGATGACAAACCGCAATATCCGCCGATACCGAGGTGGGTCTTTGCCCTGGGAGCGTTCAACGTGTTCATGGCTTATACTCTCGGTAAATATGATTCCTACAATCATTCATTGTTTCGATTAAAAAGCGCAAGTTTCAGCTTTAATTTCCGCTGTTACAGACGGTATAGACGGGAAACAAGCGCGACGCACGCAAACATCTGGCCCGTTGGGCGAACTGTTCGATCATGGCTTAGACAGCTGGACAACGATGCTCATCAGCGTTTGTATGCTCTCCGTTTTCGGTAGAACCGATCACAGCGTGTCGCCATTGAGAATGTATTTCATCCTCTGGAACATCTTCGTCAATTTCTATTTAACGCATTGGGAGAAATATAATACCGGAGTACTATTTCTTCCTTGGGGATACGATTTATCCATGGTGGTAAGTTTATTATTATCGAAAAGCTTAATTGGTGTTTAGAGTTTCAAGGTAAAGTTTAACTTCTGTTTAATCTCCAGGGCACTATCATCGTGTTTATCATAACAAGTATAGGTGGGCACAGAACATGGAAATTCGATTTACCCGGCGGTATATCAATCGGACTGGCATTCGAAGCATTATTATATGTCACCGCAATTTTTACCAGTTTGCCTGTGGTCCTCTGGAATATATACAAGTAGGTTCAATTGAACTACGAGATTTACATTACTTCTAATCGTTCCTGTTCGATTAAACATAATTCCTGTTTGATTTTCAGATCGTACAGGGATAAGACTGGAAAGATGCGTACATTCCTAGATGCTATAAGACCTCTGCTGCCTCTGGCAGTGTTCTTCATGATCTCAACCATCTGGGTAACTCATTCGCCTAGCAATATAATCGAAAGGGATCCGAGGATAGTCTTCTTCATCGTTGGAACCATTTTCTCAAACATCTGTGTAAGTTTCATCGTTAAAACAATTTAAGAAATACGGGAAATGAATTTGTATTCGAAATTTCAGTGTCGCTTGATCGTCTCTCAAATGAGCAACACCAAATGCGACTTATTGTCGTGGATACTGCTACCTGTAGCGATCGCAGCACTTTTCTCCTTTATCTTGCCTAGCGTAGATCTGGTGTTCACCTATCTCGTCGCCATCGTAGCTCTGTTAGCGCATATTCATTACGGAACGTGCGTGGTAAGTGTTCTCTCGATCATCGTCTTAAATTTCTGACTTATCCGTTAGAACATGTATTAATTGAGTACATTTAATTGTTTCAGGTGCGTCAGATGTGCCGTCACTTCCGCATCCACACGTTCCGCATCAAAGATCGTGCCGATTGACTACTTGCCGACGATACATGTTAAAAACGAAGAGATTCGAACGATAGGTCGGAGTGTAGCTACGAACGAAGCGTGTACAGACGAAAGGAACTTCGTCGAGAGATCGGTAACGAATACTCGAAAGCGGATGAATGATCATTGATCGCATAGTTGGTTCAAGCGTGCGATCATCACGTAATCAACGAGAGAAAGAGACCGTACCTGTTTAATAATCTTAGTTTCGCCCCACGCCCCATCCCCCGTTCACAGAGGCTAAAACGATGTCGTTCATTGATACAAATCTCACGTTCGCTGTGATATAGTTACACGATGACCCGCAAGCTTCTTTCGCGCCTACATTTTTTATCCCACTGTGTTCTGTTCGTAAACTCTGACTAGGCATTAGACCGTTTTCTTTTTCGTTAAACGCGTGACCGGCCAACCGTCGCGCGGCGAATTCTTCGTTTTTAACATGTATTGTCTCGGAAGTAAATTAAATCCCGGGTTGCTCGGTGTTCTCTCGCGCTAACGGGTCACTCCTACTTTCACGTGGAAATCTCGTGAAGATTCGAAGATTTCTAACTCTTCTACAGATTACGAGTTTTCTTTTCTATCATGAAGTGGAGTGTTCGTAGCGCGTGTAAGCCTCGGGCAGACCGGGATTTAAAATTGAATGAGTAGAGGAGGAGGGGATGTAACATATGTGTGTACTTTTCATAAGATACGTGCAAGAGACATTATTTATTTTGCGTAAAGGATGCATGTCGTATGTTGATGGACTCCTTGGAACGAATCAATCGTTTCTTAATTACCATGCACGTAACGTGTCAAAGTCAATTGGATTAGTCAAAAGGAAACTTAGCGAGTACTCAAGAGGAATCTTCCTCATTACTAAATTCCCTGATGAAGAAATCAACGTGGGAAAGGTAACGTGAAACGAAACGAAGACAGGATTCGTGCAACCGTTGGTTCTCGCTTGTTATTTATCAACTTTTTTCAGTATCAGGTAGGAACGCGTGGATTATTTTTAGTTTGCGTTAGAAGGTCTGCAAATATTTTAATTGTAAATTAAGCAAGCAGCGAATCGTTTATGTATTGAAAAAAAATAGGAAAACATGCGAAGACAAAAAATGAATTGATAATTGATCTGATGTACTTATGAAAATAATATTTTGCATAAACGTTCGCTGTTTGTCGATCGGTAAAGCAAGGCACGATTTTCCCACGTTGTAAATGTGAAATAGCGCAATAAAACAATCTTCCCATTCGAAGATCGTTCACGCTTAGACTCAAGTCAATGTAGAGTATATCGATCAGTCTTTATTATTATATGTTCGAAAGAAGGAACAGCTGAAAATTTATTTTATTACTCGCGCATTTATCGTTACTAGTCCATTTTACGTTGAACGTGTGTAAGTTTTAGAGTAAACGAAACGTACGACGACCGGCGGTGTATTTTATAAAACTCGAGAGGGGTCCGTCGGTGAATTTCGACGGTGTTGAATACTCGCCGCAAACGAGTTCTTTTTGTAAACATTTAGCGTATGTACATACACATAGTCGAGGGAGAACGATGAATTACTGAGCGATCGTAGCAGAAATCTTGAACAGATGCAAATCAATTTTTTAAAAATTGCGGACGTAAATCGTTGAATAATTAATACATCGTCGATATGATAAATTAAATGCATAGCATTAAATGCAGGTAGCAACAGAGCTAAGTAATGACTCGTTTTAACTGTAGGGTAGGCATATGTATTCTATAATAACGTCGTTTAGTTATTTAAACCAGTTTCCTGTCCCTCATGTAATTAACTATTGGTTATTATATATAAGTTTGTACTATTGTTTATGATTTCAATTGTAATAATATGTACGTATATATACATATATATAATATTAATCCCGAACGTTTCTTTCTGCCAAAGATATTAAAGGCACGACATTGCAAGTTGTAATTTCGTTTACCCCAATGCATCGGTGATCCGAACGAACCACAAAAATCGATTGATTTCAGACACATTTTTATTCAATATGTTCATCGTATCGTAACAAAAGGTCAATTACAACGGGAGAAAATAATAATCTGATGTTCTATGTACAAAAATTTATTAGCACCGCATTATCTGCATTAGTGGTGCAGAGTATTTATGAATTCCTTTCTTATTTTTTCTCGTTCATCCGGCGGAGGGACGATGGGCATTACACCCTCGAGTCTCCGTTTGGATATCACAGACGACTAAAATATTATGAAAATATGATAAACGAGACATGATTGAAGGATCGTACGATGGAAATGCGAACGTGAACTCACCCAGAATCTTTTGCAAACCCTGTAATTCTCAAATTGAACTTCGCACAGCGTGTAATCGTACTGATTTCTCTCTAGGCATTGCGCACTTATAAGAGATTCCTAAAATTATAATTGTTTCTAAATTCCGTGATTAATAAACCAAAGCAAGACGTTCATTCGTTGATTTGAGGTTAGGCAATGCCGATAAAATGTAACGATACGAATTTATGTTTCGCATTGATTCTTTTGAATAGGTGGATAGTTTTTCGTGAAAGTGCAATTCATTTTGTTTAAATTCTTTTATTTCGTATAAATTAATTAAATTACATAACTTTAAGTAGGATGATATTGTTCATAAATTTGCAGTACCTTGTAACAAGGATTAATAAGTTCCTGATCCTGTTTCAGTTTCTTAGGCACATTCTTCGCTTGATCATTGCTCGCGATTGAAGTAGTCATTGCTTTCTTCGAAATTTCAAATTCAATTTTGTACTAAGCCATAGCCAAACCAAATTGTCGACTGAACTATTATTGGCGCCGTATTCGAGAGTCTTGAAATGGTTAATCATACTTAACTCGTTAAATATCGAAGTTACAAGAAAAAAAACTTTTATTTAAAGCATGCTGATGACATACGTGTATTTCGAGATAAAAAATTTTTTTTATTTTTCCGAGATTTTTCCAAAGCGGTACACCTTCAGATTTTGCGAGTTTTTCGTTTTTTGCCCATACCTCCTAAACCCTTGGAGATACAGGAAAAATGCATAGGACCTTTCTTGTAGAGGACGATGAGATCTACAATTTCCATCTAACAGTTCTTCGCTAGCATCATTATTTAACGAGTTATTGACGAAAAACGAAAATTACGCAAAATCTGAAGGAGTTGCTCGTGGCGCCATCTAGCGTTCATGGCTGCGAATCCGCTTTTCTCTCTGGTGCAGCAATATTGGAGCCAAGCACTTTCGCTTTTGACAAAAAATTTCGTTTTTCGTCAATAACTCCCGAACGGATGGACGTAGAGGGACGTATGTACGACCACTTTGTAGAGGACGACGAGACCGCGCCATCTAGCGTTCACGGCTGCGAACATGCTTGACTGCACTATGTACGGCAATATTTCTGCAATTTTAGTTTTTCCTCAATAACTCCCGAACGGATGGACGTAGAGGGACGTGTGTACGCTCATTTTGTAGGGGACGACGAGATCTACAATTTCTCTGCAAAAAGAATTCGCTAGTGCCAATAGTTAACGAATTATTGACGAAAAACGAAAAACAGTTTTTTGCAAATTACTTACTCGAGCATTGAAAAGATATAAAAATGTTATTCTCGGCTTCTAATGATTCGAATTGATTAAACTACTGCCCTTAGGGTATTCCTTGTATGTTTAACTTTAAGTTCAATCGCGGTTCATTAAAATCGCTTCGCTAGAAACCGAGATGCATAATAGCATCACTTTAAACTCCAGTATGATTCTATCTAATCTTAAAGATTAATCTAATCTAAGAAATAAGATTCTATCTTACAAAATTGTTACACTCTCTATTTCTAGCGTTCTGGTTTAGACATTCTGATTACGACGTTCATGATATTTCTCGAGCGTTCATCTTCAATTCCAATGTCCGGTCATTAAAATCGAAGAGGAATTTCACATTCCTTTACAAACTCACCTTCCCGACAAGTTCTACTCCCTCAGATTTAAAAGGCAATCACCATGCGCTTATCTGAAGGTGCATAATCATTTGGAAGTATTTTATTTCATTGTACATTGCTTCCAATTAGTCTTAATTGCATAGATGTCAGATTTTTGTATTCTGTAACTTGTTTAAAAGTGAAATAAAGATCTTGTTAAACATATACCTTATTATCTATTAATCACCTGTCCACTGCTTCTACAATGACCAACACCCATTCCTTAACGAGATCTGTGACTCGAAGTAATAGCCGTGATCACTATTAAATTAATTGGATAAGTACTTCAAATTCTGCGCTGCGGAATTCTTGGAATCGTGACGTCATCACTAGGAGTTAGTGCTACCTCCTATCACATTATATTCTCCTGATACAAAGTGAATTTTTCGACAAAAATTTTTTTCTTCGAGAATTCTTGGAAATGACGTCATCAACAGAAGTTAGTGCTACCTCCTATCACATTATATTCTCCTAATACAAAGTCCGATTTTAGACAAAAATTTGTCATTTCGAGAATTCTTGGAAATGACGTCATCAACAGGAGTTAGTGCTACCTCCTATCACATTATATTCTCCTGATACAAAGTCCAAATTCTGGCAAAAATTTTGTCGAAAAATTCACTTTGTATTAGGAGAATATGATAGCATAGGAGGTAGCACTAACTCCTATTGATGACGTCATAGCACACCTCCTATCACTTTATATTCTCCTGATACCAAGTTTAATTTTTCATCAAAAATTTTCTCCAAAATTGAACTTTGTATTAGGAGAATATAATGTGATAGGAGGTAGCACTAACTCCCGTTAATGACGTCATTTCCAAGAATTCACGAAATTAAAATTTTTCGTCTAAAATTTTACTTTGTATCAGGAGAATATAATGTGATAGGAGGTAGCACTAACTCCTGTTGATGACGTCATTTACAAGAATTCTCGAAATGACAAATTTTTGTCTAAAATCGGACTTTGTATTAGGAGAATATAATGTGATAGGAGGTAGCACTAACTCCTCGTGATGACGTCATTTCCAAGAATTCTCTGAGTTAAAAATTTTGATCGAAATTCAGACTTTGTATTAGGAGAACATAACAGTATAGGAGGTGGCACTAATTCATGGTGTGAGAATTATAAAAATTTCTTAAGTTTCGATTGCACTTTATTTTATACTTATACTAAGTGAAGATGACATGGAGAAGGTGTTGGATGTAGGTAGAGTTAAAGACAAGTAATGAGACGTTTAAATTCCATTTAAAGTATTTCTTTATTAATATACTGTAAGAAATATACAATAATTTGCAAAGAGGAATGCTTATGTACTACGTATAAATTTATTACTGACACTGATGCCGTAATAATTTCATAATTGACTGTCTTCATTATTTCTAGAGTCCTTGATTGAAAAATATCTGGAACAAGCAAAAAAAAAATGTTAAAATCATGTAAGACAATAATATAAAGAATAAGAGCGCAGGCAGAGTCGGGAGAGACCAGCCAGAGACGAGGGAGTAATCGTAAAATTACATTACATAAATATATTAATATATACTAAAGAGGTGATAGAAGTACTTGAAAAACATAGCGAAACAAGGCGTGGGAACTTGGAAAATGTGAAAAATTTTTACTGGTTAAAAGGGGCAGAAGGAAACGTAAGCTACGCAAACAGAATTGTATATCTATGAGGAAAGTTAAACAACCGATAGAATAATTCTAGGCTTTATTCGTGAAACCCCATTTCTGTTTCCAAGCAATAAATATATTTCACTTCCTTGCATACCGCCTTCATCCACTTTCTTTTAAATACATTCTCGTATGTATCGCGAAAAATATTCGTTTCCATTTTCTTCTGTCAATCCTGCAACGGTCCCTGCGCGGAACCGTGAAATCGTTTAAAATTAGAGAATCACATATTACATACTTTAAAACAAGCAATAATTTATTTTGTTCACGCTTCACGTTCTCCTCGTTCGAGCACACGTACAACTTAATTAATTCTAGAACACGAACGTCCAGTAAAGTCTGCAAACACCGGCTAAGCATTCTTATCGAACAGAACAAAACGTATTTTTATTCACTGTATGAAAACGCAGAGAAAACAATTCTAAGAAATGTTCATGACTGGAAACAATTCCGCAGATCATTTGTATTCTAGGATCAATAATTTTAATGATTGGCCACTCGCAAGGCTTGTTTCAATCTTTTCCAGAAAATTAAAAATTTATACAATCGCAATTACATTCCTGCTCATTCATCGAATGTATCAAAAGAAAAGGTGAGATGATCGTTAAAATAGTTTGGTCCACAGAGACAAATAAAATCTTGGGAAGAAGAGTGCGTGCGGAAATATTATCCACGCACGTGTGTGCTCGCTTTTTAAAGACTGAAAGAGACACGTGAATCGTACAATGATTTCCTTTTCTCGCCTCTAATGAAGCCACAAAAAAGAGAACGATAAATCCGCTATATAGTTAATTCTATTTAATTAAGTACAAAAACACTTTTTAGTACTTTCGCGTGTTCTACGATCCCTGTAGCGTTGAAGCATAAGGTAAAATACGCTAACGATTTCGTGATCATCGCACAAGAGGAGACGACTGCCTTCTTTCAACTTTAAATACACGATATGCTTTCGGCATGGGAGCGTGTTCGTTTTAAAATAAGAAAAACGAAACCTTAAGAGAATACATCGTCTTATACACTGCCGAACGAAAGATTGGAATCGTTTGAAAGAACGTGAAATTCATAGAACGTTGTGGTGTTTCTCTACTTCGACTAAAAGTGTAAACTAACGATTTTAAATCACGAATAAACTTACGAAGCTTGACGCGAGAGAGTGAATTTGGCGATGAATGGAACACGGATTCCAAATTTTTGGCTGGCAGGGTATCGTTCACCGTTTCAAATAAGTAAGTCATGGGAGGGAAGGGGGGCGGGGGTGAGGATGTGTTCTCGTTTATCTTCCTTTCATCTTTCCAATTTTTAAGCACCTTTCGTTAACGCTTAATCATTTGAAATTCTCTGTCGCGCTCGCAGGGTTTAAACCTAACGAAGGAATCATACTCGATTACTAATATTTACACAGAATTAATGCGATAATATGAGTGATATAGGAATTGAATATGTGAAACTACAGCCATTAATGATTAGAGCAAGTGGAAACTTAAGCCAGTGCGCGGTTTCCTTCTATTCATTCCTTTGATTGAACAATTGGCAGAATCGACACAACCCTTTTGCCACAGGAAATCATCACAAATTAATTTGGCTGTTTTAAAACCTATCAGCGTTAATCTTCCCGTTCGACCATTTTCTATCGTAGCAAAAAGGCTCCGGTTATAAGAACGAATCTTTGGGCTTCTCAACTGATCGAAAATTCCCTTTTATACGCGGGTACCGAGTACGCGCTCAACGCAGTCCGTCCCGCGAACGAGTCGCGCTTAAATACCTACGCCCTGTTATTTCATTTCTTGTTTGAATGTTTCGACGCGTTTCTTAGAACTCCGAGGAGATTGAAGTATCGAAAGCCGGAGAGCACATATATACGTGTAAACATCGCTTCCCGCTTTCGACACTTCGAAATTCCGCGAGCTGCCGCTTTAAGAACGGTATCCTGAGACGTCGGTTGATTCCTCATCGCGTGATCGCTTTAATCTGTGATGGAGATCTGAGCAAATCCTATTAACGCCTTGTCGTCCGGTACTTCGTTCGGCGCGTGACCAGAATTCTGGAATTAATCGTAAACGATCCCATCAAAACCTCTCCTTCATTCCTGAATTAAATTAAGAGAAACGGCCTGTGCCCTCTTCTTACCAGTGAAAATGTAACTGTCCGTAACTGGCCAGCACTGTCTATAAGTTTCTGCAAGTTTGCCGCAATCACGACGATGTCCTTGCCGTCGACCAATCCCGCGCCAACCAGCTCTGCTGCGATGCCCTCGGCGGAATCCACTCCGACGGCGAATTCGAATCGTATATCATTCAGCTCTCGTTTCTGGTTTCTGAAAAAGGATTTAACAAACCGATTTATTTTATTTCTAACAGGGAAGACTTTCTATTAGATTCAAAGGAAATTGGATTGGAAGGAGACATTGGTACATACTTTTCTTCTTCGAGGGTGAAATAAGTTTCGGGACTTCTGGAAGGACAAGGATACATGCACAATATATCAAGGAATATAAGAGAAGAATCATTTAAGAGGAAGCCTTTAAGAGGAAAAGTTTGGAATGATAATTACCGTAATCTGAGCACCAAGTTTATAGGAACGTTCTGTTCGTTAACCGGCACGGCCATGTGACTCCGCGCGGACTTCACTTGTCCAAAGAACTCCTCTTCCTGGTCCTCTTCGCTGCTAGACGCGTTCTCGATGGTATTAACCGGTAAAGCTTCTTTACCTTCGTCACCGCTCGACGCACTGCTGTCTTCCTCTTCAGAGGACCAGACCCACTCGCCCGTGACCGTTCTATGCAAACGACCGGACGTGCCTGGTTGTCTTTTCGAAGCCTGCGATCGAATAAATTAAGCAACTCTTATTGAACCGGGACGAAATTGATAAATTAAAGATAAATACCTTTTGCACCCGAGTCTCGAGGCTGGGTCCGCACGCTACCAAAGTCTGTTGTAAATATTTCTTATCCTTCGCTTTCTTGAAGAACGGATGTTTCAACAGCTCTGTTGCCGTTGGTCTGAAGAACGATAATATCCACTTTAATACAGAACACGTTAAGTATAATTTAAATCGTGTTACAATTACTTCGTCTAATCGCACCTTTTTGTCGGATCCTTTTGGAGGCAGTCGACGATCATCTTCCGGAATGTTTTGCCGTAGGCTTTGTACTGGTCTTTGTCGTCGGCGGCAGTATCCAAAGTCGGTGGATCATTCTGTAGCGTGAGCATGAGTACTTTCATCGGCGGGTACTTGTGATACGGCGCGGTGCCGCTGGCCATTTCGATGGCAGTGATCCCGAGCGACCAGATGTCCGCCTTGAAATCGTACCCATGGTCCTACAATGTGAACACGCATATCATAATTGATTTTACACCGCGAGCATTGAATCGGTATAGCCAATGGACAACAGAGCAGGTGGGGATCGAATCATGCCTCGAGCATCGCATGCGTTCGCGATTTCATTAATTCAACCAGAATAAAACTTGCCGTTACGCAATGTTAACATGCTGCGATTACTCTTTTAATAAAAGTAAAAATAACGAAACACGTTACGAAACGAAAACTGGTTTCCTCAAGGTTTTATATTTTTAGAAGCCGTGTGTCAGGGGAGAAAGACTGATATGTATAAGCGAGAATGCAGACAGACGCAGGCTAAGAAGTTGTAATGTTACTTTCCTCTCTCACCTGCTCCATGACCTCGGGTGCCATCCAGCAGGGTGTGCCGACGAACGTGTGTCTGACTTTCTGCCTGCTCAAGTCTCGGCCAGTCGCCAACCAGGCGCTGACGCCGAAATCAGCAATCTGCACAGTCCCATCTTCTCCTAGTAGGATATTACCGGCTTTTATGTCCCTAATATTATTTCATCGTTAAAATTTTTGTATACACGTTAACAATGAAACACCGGTCTCTCAATTATATTTGCTCATTTACAAGAAAAAAACATTCCATGAATCGAGAGACGAGCGTAGATTCGCTTTGTACTCTTTTAACAGAGTGGGCGAATTTGTACGAAATACAATTTCGAAGTGGATTTTAATTAAACTAAACGCGGTACCTGTGTATTTGTCCGTTACTGTGAAAGTATTCGAGGCCCTTGAGCACCTCTCGCAAGACCGTCGCTATTGTGGCTTCGTCGAAAACGCCGTGTTTACAATTTGTAGTTCTGGTCTTGTGTTTGATGATGTCAAGCAACGAGCCACCCTCCAGCAGCCTTAGAACCAGCCAGAGCTCCTCTTTCACCACGAACGAGGTGTAATACGTAACCACGTTCTCGTGGTTGCAAGAGGACATCGCCTGAATTTCTTTCTGTTAACAAATCACGGTTTTGTTTGAACGAAGAACAAAATTTATGTAACGATAATGCTAGTTACTTTTTTATTTCTCTTAAAGGCTTACCAGGAGCTCGTCCATGCTTGTGTTCCATTTTTCCAAATTTATTCTCTTGATCGCGCATTTCTCTTGCCGTGGAATGCAATACGCCGCGTGCACCACGGCTGTCGCGCCAACGCCTGTAAATATTCCACGAAATCTTCGGTAATAACTAAGTCCTACTTAAAAATGAATCACCGACGTCATGCGGTCGATTTTTGAGAGTGAAAAATAAGATTAGAGGAAGATTAGGCGTCGCTAGTATTTGAACAATGAACATTTGTTTGAATTGTAATGACGTAAGTTACACGTCACACAGCGTCACGTGGTCGGTGTTATGACGTGCATGCACTGACGCAGCACACGTATGTGTCACTCGGCTGGATTTTAATTCCACAATTCATCAAAGAAAATAATCGCTCCGACCGATACGAGGTGCGACTCGGTGTGAAAAATATCACAAGCTTTTTCGTGAGACGAAATACATGCAATTTCGTACGATCCGACAGCCTTGTAGCGACGTAATTATTCGTATTTTATGTAACGCATGATAGGAATCGAACAGGGCTCGGGCTTGTCAACGAGTTTTATGCAAAATCATCTTGCCTCGATGTTAACAGAAAACTTAATGTTACGCTAAAACACGAAGTCACAAGTTACAGCGATCGATTCCGTATCACAATTGATTAAAAAAATAAAACGCGACGCGTTCTAACGAGATTTCCGATGGTATCGCACGAAATCGTTCGGATCTCGCGTTAACTAGGTTAGAACTTATCGGACACCGGTATACGTGCCACGGTGAGTGGGAGCGAGATGGCGAGTTCTGGCCGCGTGCGCGAGAGAGACAGCGGCGTAAACGCGGACAGGGACAATGCGTCAATCGTAGATCGGGATCGCGATGCACCGATTGAATACGCGTTGAATAAAGACTGATCTCTTCGACTTGTAAGAGGTAATGTGTAAAAGAAGTAGATGTCGAGCTGGTGGACGGTGACCCGGTGCGAGGGGCACGCGTCGAGACAGGAGGATCCCGCGGGACGCGCGAGTTTCGCCGAGTCCCCGGCGAGGAAGCGATCGTCCGGTCGGCGTGGATACTCACCGATAACCTCCTTGAGCTCGTAGTCGTCTTTCGTGTTCGGCCAGCCCTGCACGACCGTCGTGGAGCTCGAGGACGCCATTTTGTTCGCCAGTGCCGAGCTAAGCCGCGCGTGCTTGCTGGTACCCCGGGCACTTCGTGCCAGCTGCAACACGCTGTTCTTGGACCGCGCGCTGCCGTTCCCGTTGCCGTTGCCGACGGCTGTTTTTGTACTGGGTGGCTCACGTGGACCGCGAGGGTCGGCGCCTGCGCCGCTGCCGCCGCGGTGATGATTTGCGGGTGCGCTCTTCGGTGGCGTCTGGGCCCTGAACGATTTCTGACGGAAAATACCCGGGGAACAAGACGGCAACACGTCCGGAGAAATTTTCCTGCCAACACAATTTCTTTCCTTAGTCTTCGTCAAAACGATTTAACTCTTTTTAATAAAATACAATATGTTAAATATTAAGTTCATTGAATAGTAGAGAAAAATTGAAACAGCTAAGTTATTTCAAGTTTCGGTTCAGTTATGAGTAAAGATATCAGGCACAAATATTGACGTTCTTAAGAATCTTCATAAACCCACTCTTCTTAAAACGACATTATTTATAACTGCTTATAATTCATTGCGTTAAGCCAGGCTTTGAAAAGAAGAAATGCAACGGAATAGAAGTAAGGAGAGCGCGTGAGTCGGTTCATTAAATCTAAATTGCAGGCGATCTTTTCAAAATAAATGCGTCGACGGCAATCCAGCGAGCCCCAATCCGATTCATTAAGCCGACTGGACCTTCTACGAGAAATAAACCAGTCGTATAATAAATTCTAATTCGGGTCAATTTAAAACTACGAAACTTTCTCGTCGCGTACGATGAGAATTTTTAATAAATAAGTTTATAAACATTTATGAGGACACTCCCTGAAGCGTTTTTATATTAATAAGGAAACTTTTAAGTGGAAATCAATGAATCAATAAATATATTGTGCTTATTATATGAATTAATGAAAAAGCGAGGGTCTGTCGTTTGTTTTACTTACAATTATTGAACTGCAGGATTACTGTTTATCCGACATAAGCAGTGCAGTCTGGTGCGCGGCACATTTCGCTACTGTCGAACGCGACGCGACGGTACATATGAAATGTTGATTTTTTTTTTTCAGACAAAGAGAACAGAGCAAGAGGGAAAGAGAGACCGTCGCGTGATACGTGACCGCGATATTAAGGTTAATCCTGGCCCGTCTGTCCAAGTCGAATCCCACCATAAACTCTGGCAACGGCACACGCTCGTCGCGATTAGTACCTAATTGAAGTGCTTTCATCGTTGGTTCGCGCCGCGCGCTTACAGAGAAGTTTCAAAGCCAGAGGGAGAGAGTGGCTAATCGTTACGAAGCTGAGGCTGATTAAAACCAAGAGAAATGACTCCATAAATTAATTTCTGTTATGCGAATAAGAAATAAATCTAACTGATGCAATAGGCACCCTCGGTTTTCAATTTTTAACTCACTGTTTCAGAATATTTTATCTATAACATGAAATAAGGCGAAATCGTACGCGATCTTTCAGCTCATTATTGATTCGGAAAACGGACATCCCCGTAGAATTAATTGAGCACCGATAACACAGTCGCACGTTATCGATATCTGTCAATCGCGATTAAACGAATTCAATTGAAACAGACTTATTGAATTTCTGCTGTTTGCAAAAGGATCTAGCCACGGGCCTTTACCAATGACAGATGAGTAAATCCTGTGCGGGATAGATATAAAACAGCTAAACCAAAACGAACGGTAGTAGTGAAGCCATTCACGTCTTTCTATAAACGTGCTTCTTGCGAGAGAGGGAAATTCGTGACGCTATGCATCGAGCAACGTACCTCGCGTTGGTGAGTATCCTCGAATCTCCTAAAGAACTCCACGGACAGAGATCGTAGAGACGACCGTGAAAATATTTCTGATCGAAATTCAAAGAAATACGTGACCGAAACGAGATGTCTGCTCGTTTCAGAAATGTTTGCACGCGACGACCGTGTCGTAGGTACCGCGGCGACCGACTGGCTTTAAACATCTTAATTATCGCCGATGCACTGGTACGTCATTAAGAAAACTTCGGTTGTTTACCAGCCAGCTATTAGTACGTCTACGGCGTGTGTGTGTGCCTCGTCAGGTCGCAGTAACTCGTTTAGGATGTTAAACGCGCGCGCGTTAATTTGCAACGTAAATTGCGATTAAATATAGCGCCCCCGCGTCTAAATTTATCGTTTCACATGCTGCTGACAAACGGTGATAAGAAAATTAGGATTAGGGCAAAACGAGATACTTCAGTCTAAACAGGATTTACTTCAATTTCAATTAGAAAACCAATGTGTTTCTTTGAACTCCGCCAAAATTTAATGAGAGACACGTGGCCGCCTGCGTGTGCATGCAAGCTCAGTCAAGGTTGTATGAGCCATAAGATAAAAAGTTGAAGAAATGTAATGAAAAACTGTGTCCAATATTTGAGGCAATGAA